CAAGTCAGGCATGGCCTCGGCCTTCCCGCGGCTTAAGTTCTACGGCCAAGTAAGGATATAACCCTGGATCCACAATCACCTCACTTACTTGCTCAATGCCTATGGTGTAGAAGAGGCAAACTAGCATGGCGGTGAGGGTGGGATTGATCTGCTTCCGCTGTACCCCTGGCCTCAGCTGTTACATGGAGGAGTAAATACTTTACCAAAATCATACCCCATCCCCTCCAGGCAGGAGAACAGGTTTGGGGGAAAAAAGGCTAAGTAACCATATTCTCTCTCTTATATGCTCATGCCTAAAGCACAAGAAGTGGGCAGTGTGAGAGGGCTACAAGAAACCTGAAAGTGGGGAGAGGGCTTGACTGTCAGTAGCTCCAACCACCATCTAGGTGGGATCAGGGGTGTTTCCTTTACATACCCCTTTCCCTTCTCCCAATGTTTCCTTGGATCAAACCAATTGGCTAATACTAGGATAAAATTCAAATCAATCCCTCTGCTGGCACATTGATTTATTATTTTAAGATTTTATTTTAAGTAATTACTACACCAAACGTGGGGCTCAAACTCATGACCCCGAGATCAAGAGTTGTAAACTTCTTGGGGTGCCTGGGTGGCTCAATTGGTTAAACATCCGACTCTGCCCCTCCCCTACTTGTGCTCTGTATCTCTCTCTCTCTCAAAAATAAATAAACATTAAAAGAGTTGTAGACTCTTTTTTTTTTAATGTTTATTCTTTTAGAGAGAGAGCACAAGCAGGTTAAGGGTGGGGGGTGGGGTAGAGAGAGAGAGAGACTATCCGAAGCAGGCCCCCACACTGATAGGGCAGAGCAGGACTCAATCTTGATGCAGGGCTCGATCTCACCAACTCCTGAGATCATGACCTGAGCTGAAATCAAGAATCAGAAGTTCAACTGACTGAGCCACCCAACGCCCTTCCCCTAGCACTTTTTTTTTAATGTTTTATTTATTTTTAAGAGAACGCACGCGGGGACGTGGAGGAGGGACAGAGAGGGGAGGACAGAGTATCTGAAGTGGGCTTCTATGCTAACAGCAGCAAGCCTGATATGGGGCTTGAACTCACAAACTGTGAGATCATGACCTGAGTCGAAGTTGGACACTCAACCGAGTTATCCAGGTGCCCTCTCCCCTAGCAATTTTAGAGAGATGTCTAAATATTGTTTGAACCTCCTCCTCATTCCACAGTGAGGAACAGAAGCATCAAATTCACCCAGAGGATGACTGGCCAAGCTAAAATTTGAACCCAAGTTTACAGATTCTTCTCACTGCTCTAAAATGGCTCTGAGATTTCAGTGAGACTCAGGACAGAGCTTGGCAGTAGCAGGAAGGCCCCTTCCCCCAACCCAGGCCAGGTCAACCCAGGTGTTTTGCAGCTCAAATGCAAAAACTGGGTCACAGTTCATTTACCTAATCTCTGCCCTAGGTCCTCAGACTGGAATCTGAAGAGGCCACTAGGTAGGGGGCAGGGAGCAGGGAACTGAGAAACGAGGATTTTACACGTACCACTGGCTTTTCATCCTTGGGGGTGGAGCTGGGATACAAGATTTGCTTTCCTTTCTCTCTCAGCTATCTTTGTTGTTGGGGTCACTGGATTTTGGAGGCAGCTCTATTTTTCCAAGAACACCAATGCTTTGGTGCCACTTCTTGGATCATACCAACTAATTCCTAATCCCTTTCAGAAACATCTCTTCAGGAACATTTCCAAACTTCCCCTCTGTCTCCCCAAGATCACTTTTTGGGGGAAGAGTAGAATGGCTGAGATGGGGCCTATGGAGCTCTCTGCCTACAAAATCCCAGAGGAGTGATCTCTTCTGCAACATTGTTAAAAAGAAAACCACAGGCCCAAACCCGCATCACTTAAGTGGAGTCTCCAAACTGGGGCTTAATGCCTAAACTAATTGTGGTTTTGATGAGGGAGCAAAAGGCAAGCTGAGGGCAAAGCGTGTGTACACACACACACACACACCAGGTAGGATATGTGTGATATTCCTCAGGCATTCCTGGGCTGCCCAAGAGCAAAGGAAAGGAAAGAAAACAAATGGCCAACTGACAGAGATCACAGTCATACAGGACATGAGTCTCCATCAGTTTACAAATATCTTAGTAAATTACAAGAAAAAGGCAATTTTATCAATAGCCTAATCTCCAGAAACCTACAGACCCAGTTTCCTGGAACGCCTAGTATCACCCTCCCCTCCATGGTGATACAGGTACAAAGGGAAGAAGGAAATGGCGGGTAAAATTAAATTTCCTCATAACCTGAAGCCCATTGACAAATACTTGAGGTAAAAATAGAGTGTAACTTTTCTCCAGGAACCTTCTACTGTTTTAATGTTAATGCCTTACTAGAGGGAAAACAACCTTAGCTTGGCAATAGCAAGGTCGCAGGCATCTTATGTATAAGTCTTCTTTAGCATATCAAAGTCCTCCTGTAGGTCTCCCTTTTGCCTTTACCTCCCTCAACTCCATAGTAGGTAACCAGTCACTCTGCACAACCCCAGTGCAGCTCTTTCTGCCCACAAGTCTTGTTCCTGTGCTTTAATAAAATCACCTTTTTTTGCACCAAAGACGTCTCAAGAAAATTCTCTCTTGGCTGTCAGCTCCAAACCCTCATCACTATAAAACCCCATCAGTTTCAACCTTCCCAGAGATGTAGTCTTAACTGGTCAGTCAGGAATTTTCTAATTAGCACCAATGGGGCCCTTTCCTTCCCCCAGAGGAAGATAAGGTAATCTGCATGGTAAAATCCCCTGCTCTTCCCCCTAACAGAAAAGAAACTTGCCTGGAACTGTCCTTTTCTTTTGCTAAAAACTTTTTTTTCCAGATTTCTTCCTATAAAAATCTTACATTTTGTGTATCTCTTGCTTGGAGGTCCTTTCTACTTGCTAGATGGGGTGCTGCCTGATTCATGAGTTGTTTAATAAGGCCAATTATATCTTCAAATTTACTTGGTTGAATTTTATTTTATTTTTTAATTTTTAATGTTTATTTATTTTTGAGAGAGACAGAATGCAAGCAGGGAAGGGGCAGAGAGAGTGGGAGACACAGAATCCGAAGCAGACTCTAGGCTCTGAGCTGTCAGCACAGGGCTGGATGCAGGACTCAAACTCACAAACTGTGAAATCATGACCTGAGCTGAAGTCAGATGCTTAACCGCCTGAGCCACCCAGGTGCCCCTCAGTTGAATTTTGTTTCTTAACATCTGGAGAATATGGCTGTGACCATTTTTTTTAAAGCATTGTGTGCTATCCTTGTGAAAGACCAAGGAAGCCACAGGCCTAGACAGTCCCAGAGGGCTTTGCCTGGAACAGGGGTGCAGAGACCAGATTTTGAGGTTAGCCCCTCAGTCTCAAGGTTCTTAAGAGGATGGTCAGCTCAGAAGCATCACAGAAGCCAGAGCCAATACAAAAACATGTTCCCTCCACCATGCATTCCCCTCTAGATAATCCCTTCTTTATCTTTCCCTTCTTGGCCAAGTTTCTCAGAAAATAGTCCAGCTTCCCAGCCTCTACTCTTACCTACACATCTAGCAGCCTGTAATAGGTTAAGTAAACTTAGTTACTGTAGCAAACAACACCCTTCCCCCGCAAACTCAGTGGCTTAGCAAGTGTATTGTGGGGGGAGAGGCGAAGCAGCATTCAGAATTCTCCACTACTTAATTCCCTATTAGTAAGATATTAGATGGGGGAAGAGTAAGAATGTAAAGAATTTCAGAGGATGTTGGGAGCCATACCTGGATGTGGCATACCTCATTCCTGCCTATACTTCATTGGCCAGAACACAATCATATGGCTTCATCTGCTACAGAGTATACTGTGGAATGTAATATGGCTGCCCAAGAGCAAAAAGAAATAGATTTGTATAGCATCATCTCTGCTGCATGCCCTTACTGAGAAACCTAATGACCATTTCCCATATTTTATCAGACCTCTTAATTACATTTGACTGTGTTGACCCTTCATTCCATCACTATCATTTGTGATGCTGTGTCCTTCTAGTTCTTTTCTCCTTTGTGTTTTATTTATGTAACTAACACATATGACACCACTTGCCAGGCACTAATTGCTTTATAAATATTAACTCATTTAACCTTCATCACAATTAAAGTATGTACTATGAGGTAGACACTTTTATTCATCCCACTTTCCAGATGAGAAAACCGAGTCACAGGGCTTAAGTAGCTTACCCAAGAAACACACAACTGGTAGGTTGGCAGGAGCCAGTCTTTTAACAACCAATCCAGTTCCAGCGTTTCTTTCTTAATCACTGCACCCTGCTGCCGCTTTTCTCTTTTGCTTCTCTTCCTTTATCATTCCCTCCCCATAACCCTGTTGGTGTACAATGCTCTCCTCTCACATTTTGTGCTCCAAAACAAAGAATGAATCGTAGGCCCCAAAAGGCCCCAAAAGACTCCTTGCTATCTCTTCATAGTGCTTTTGTTCTTAGAGTACGTCTCATTCGCTGAATGCCCCTCCCCATTTTTCTAAACACCATTTAGAGGCGTCACCGCCTCCAGAAAGCCTTCCGTACTTTTCGTAGGTAGAAGCGCCTCCTCCCACTTTTTGTGCTAGCAAAGATCACAATCACAAGTCGATCGCCTGCTGCAAATTTGAGAAGGGGGCCAATCCACTCTGCTTGTCACAGCCACCTACCCCGACCACCACCCACACGCGGTAAGGAACTCGGAAAGACCTTGCTCTTAGGCCCTAACACTGACAGCTAGGAGGGTTTAGCCCAGTCCCAACGCGTCACGCGCGCAGCTCCACCCCACTCCTCGGCGATCCACACTCCCCGCGAGGAAATGGTTCAACCCAAGGGGTGGTGCCCGGGTGCTCGGACTGTTCTCATTGGCCAGAGCGAGCCGTACCACGACTGTGGCGGGGGTACGGTTGTGAACTGCGCGCCGCAGGTTTTGAGGCTGTAAAAGTCACAGCTCCAGGCCCCGGTTTGTTCCTTCACTTCTCCCTGCTAGGACGCCTGCCGGGATGCAGTGGGCCGTGGGCCGGCGGTGGGTGTGGGCCGCGCTGCTCCTGGCTGCCGCTGCTGTGCTGGCCCAGGTGGTCTGGCTCTGGCTGGGCACGCAAAGCTTCGTCTTCCAGCACGAAGAGATCGCGCAGCTGGCCCGGCAGTATGCGGGTGAGCCGACGGGTCACCGGGGGAGCGAACGGGTGGAGGGCAGGGGTGTGTGGAGGCCCGAGCTTAGTTGGGAGTTTCAGAGACGTCTTTCCCGAGTTCCGAGTGATTCTAGCTTAGATTCTGTTGTTCCTCTGCCTCCGCCAGGGTTGGACCACGAGCTGGCGTTCTCTCGGCTGATCGTGGAATTACGGCGGCTGCACCCAGGCCACGTGCTGCCCGACGAGGAGCTGCAGTGGGTGTTTGTGAACGCGGGCGGCTGGATGGGCGCCATGTGCCTTCTGCACGCCTCGCTGTCCGAGTACGTGCTGCTCTTCGGCACCGCCCTGGGCTCTGGCGGCCACTCGGGTCAGTGCTGGCAGCGGGCCGAACTGGGAGGCTGGGGCTGTACAAGGGTCCATGCCCTCCTTTCTGATGTTTGGCCAAGACATATATTGGTGCTGATACCCTGATATTCGGTGTGCATCTGATTGTCCCTCAGGGCGCTACTGGGCTGAGATTTCCGACACCATCATCTCTGGCACCTTCCACCAGTGGAGAGAGGGCACTACCAAAAGTGAGGTCTTCTACCCAGGTGGGTCCCTTCATTCTGGGGTGCCCATAATTGGAGGAGGGTCATGGCATGGAAAGGGGGTATGTTGGGGGCTCTCCCCTCGGTTCCCTTACCCCTCAGATAAGCCACAGGTCATTATTGGTTGAAGCAGGTCCAAGGGCCCCTGTCCAAGGACTTCTTCTGTCAAAAGGAAACAAAACTTAACCATTTCCTGTTAACCACGTCCGATATTTATATACCAAGACACTGTTTTGATTCATCCAATATTCCAGCAGTTGTTGGAGAGACAGTTGGGTAATCAGATATGCTGTCATACCCCCAAAGACAAGACAGACAGTTGTCTTCATTTTTTCTATAGTGAAACATTTTTTTACATAAAAAGTAGAGCTATGGATTTCCACATAAGTTTCAGATTGATAAGTTACAGGCATGACAGGCATTATAATTGAACATTTCTCAGACAGCCACACAAGTCTTATAACCACCCCTCCCTATCTAACAGGCCCAGCCCAAGTTTAGCTAAATTTCTGCCTGACATGAGTGAGGCTTGGGAATGCAGACTTCCAGGACTCCCATACAGTGGCCCCTGGCCATGTGAGGTGGCCCTCCTTGGCTTACCCCCAAAGAGGACATGAGCCAGGTGATGCCACAGAGGAAAACTTAGGAGTGGCCATCTTGGCTTCTTACTCTTCCAGATGGGCGACCAGGCCAGTGAGGTAAGGCTTTTTCCTTTCCTGATGCTCCTGCTCTGTTTCTTGCCCCTAGACAGCCCACGGGCTAGGGAGGTGGCAGCAATGGAAGGGCTAGGCTCCTTATGTGGGTGCTCCCTGTCCTCTAGGGGAGACCGTGGTCCACGGGCCTGGTGAGGCAACAGCTGTGGAATGGGGGCCAAATACATGGATGGTGGAGTATGGTCGGGGTGTCATCCCATCTACCTTGGCCTTCGCGCTGGCTGACACAATCTTCAGCACCCAGGACTTCCTCACGCTCTTCTATACTCTTCGCGCCTATGCCCGGGGCCTCCGGCTTGAGCTCACCACCTATCTCTTTGGCCAGGACCCCTGACCAGCCAGGCCTGAACGAGGACCTGTGGATGGACAGGAGCAGGCAGGCCTGCATACATCCACTTTCTGGAGCCCATGTGAAAAGACAGGGACACAACATGCAACTACTAAGTTCCTGATGTACGAGCAGGGACACACATGCTTATGTAACCAAATACAGAGACTCGTGGGAACATATGGGACATACACGCAGATACAGTCCCATGTGTACGGCAGCATCATACGTTCACAACCATCCAGAGAGGGAACCCCACATGTACCAAGGGGGCCAGTCATATTCAGACATACCACAAGCTTGAATCACTAACTCAAGCCTTTTCCAGAGCTTTCCTGCCACCAGTCAAGGCTCTGGAGTTGGTGATGGGTGTAGGTATTATACTCTGTCTGGGCCTGACCCTTCAACCCAATAGCAGCTGAGGTGGGAGGGAGATGAAGGGTTGCCTGTGGAGGCCCCCCTCATCTCCCCATCCTCACCATATGCCTTACCTCATTCTGTTCCCCTTACTATGCAAGTGCTCTCATGGCCTGTCCCCACTCTTAGCAACTAAGTCAGCTGGGAGAACCGTAAGAATGGAGAATGCTGAGGTCAGGGTCCTTCTATCCTGAAAGACCCCATGCCTTTCCCCCATTCGTCCCTTAGGAGTGTGATTGGGGGAGGCTGGCCTCAGCTCAGGGCCCACTGCTGGGCAGAGGACCTAGAGAAGTTAGCCTAGGTCCAGGGGGCCATCCCTGGCCTACAAAGGCCTTTTCTGCACACATACACCCTCATCACAGCTTCCACATTCTGCCCTTGATGTCTGTCCACCTGTCTCTGTTAATAAAGACTTGTTGAACAGTCATTTCTTTGTGTGTCTGAACAGCAGGAAAACCTGCTAACTTGAAATGCAGGGGTGGGTAAGATGGTGTGTCTTGGTCTTGCCTTCTGCTGGTGCCATTCTGAAAATAGTCCTGGAGTCCGATCCTGGGTGGCCACGGGGTGGCAGTGTATACCCACTTTTGGGCTAATGGAGGCACGATAATCATTTTTGTCTTTCCAGTATATCCTGTCCACCCCCACCCAGAGTAGAAAGTCTTAGCTTCTCCAGGACACCTGACTTGTAGAGGCCCCCAGGGGTAGAGAGCAGACATACCCCCTGGTGGTGTCTGAGGTGGGTGAGGCAAAAGAGGTGTGTAAGGTACACTCGTCCCAGGGACTCTGCATTTGCCTTCTTAAATTTTGGACCTTGACACCTCACCTACCTCACCTTCTCTGAGGTTGAGTAAGATCCAGGCCACTCTCACTTCTTAGGCCTCCTGATATATCAAAAGTGGAAGGAACATGGTTATAAAAATTGTAGATTCTAAAAACTCAAATTTCTAGTGAACGAAATACAGAAGACTACATGTACGGCCATTTGGAAACAACATCAAAAGTTTATAAATTTCTGGGGTGCCTGAGTGGCTCAGTCAGTTGAGGGTTGAGTGTCTGACTTCAGCTCAGGTCACGATCTCACAGTTCGTGAGTTCGAGCCCCACATCAGGCTCTGGGCTGATCGCCCAGAACCTAGATTCTGCTTCGGATTCTGTGTTTCCCTCTGTCTGCCCCTCCGTTGCTTGCACTGTCTCTTGCATTGTCTCGAAAATAAATAAACGTTAAAAAAAATTGTTTTTAAGTTTATAAATTTCTTACTCTGAGTGAATGTGAGGCCCAGGCAAGATGACCATTCCAACACCCCATTCGCACCATCATGTTGGCCATGACAGAATTTGGCCGAGGCCTCATTGACAACAATGCAAAGCCAAACCTCCAAGGATTTCTCCCACCCTGTAAGCCAGTTCTCCCTCTATGCTCAGAGCCCACATCTATCAGAAATGCCCTGGAAGCTTCCCTTATAATCTCCCCCTTCCCTTCCGCATAAGACTCTGCTTCCAGGCTCCTCCCTGTCTCAGCTACTAGGTCCAGTGGCTATTTCTTAACTTTCATTTGAAACACTCTTAAAACACTCTTGGCTTCTAGGACACTACTCTTCCTAAAATTGCCTCCTTTGCTTGATCTTTCTTATCTCCAGCCTTTGACTTCCCAAGATTTAATTCTCAAACTTCTCTGTCTATACCCTTCCCAGGAGTTCTTAACCATTCATGACTTTAAATACCATCTATGTGCCTTTTTTGAAAATAGTTTTATTGAGGGGTACCTGGGTGGCTCAGTTGGTTAGCATCTGACTTCAGCTTGGGTCATGATCTCAACAGTTCATGGGTTCGAGCCTCACATCCGGCTCTCTACTGTCAGCCTGGAGCCTGGATTCTGAGTCTCCCTATTTTTCTGCCCCTCCCCTGCTCATGCTCTGTCTTTCTCTGTCCCTCAATAATAAAAAAGTTTTATTGAAATATAGTTAGTATAACATAAATTACTTAAAGGTGTACAATATAATGATTTGATCTATGTATGGTGAAATGATTACCACAATAAGTTAACATCCATCACCTCACATAGTTACAGATTCTTTTTTTCTTGAGATGAGAACTTTAAAGATCTCTCTTAACAACTTTCCAATGTACAATATAGTATTTAATGTACTAATATACTACTAATATAGTATAAGAGCACTAAGCTTCACATTACATCCCCAGGACTTTTTTATAACTGGAAGTTTATGCCCCTTGGCCACCTTTCTCATTCCTCCATTCCACCTCTACCTGCCCATACCCCCTGCCTCTGGCAACTCTTAATCTGTCCTCTATTTCTATGAGTTTGGGGTTTTTTTAGATTTCACATATAAGTGAGAACATACAGTATTTTGTCTTCATCTTGACTTGCTTCACTTAGCATAATGCCCACAAGGATGAATGGATTAAAAAAAAAAAGTACATACATACATGTGCTGGGATATCATGCAACCATAAAAAAGGAAACCCTACCACTTACAACAACATGGATGGACCTCAAGGACCATCTGTACATCTTGAATCCTAGTTTGTTTGGGTTTTTTTAGCTTTTTTTTTTTTTTAATTTTTTTTTTCAACGTTTTTATTTTATTTTTGGGACAGAGAGAGACAGAGCATGAACGGGGGAGGGGCAGAGAGAGAGGGAGACACAGAATCGGAAACAGGCTCCAGGCTCTGAGCCATCAGCCCAGAGCCCGACGCGGGGCTCGAACTCACGGACCGCGAGATCGTGACCTGGCTGAAGTCGGACGCTTAACCGACTGCGCCACCCAGGCGCCCCAAGGGTTTTTTTTAGCTTTTTAATGTTTATTTATTTTGAGAGAGAGAAACAGACAGCGAGCAGGGGAGGGGCAGAAAGAAAGGGAGACACAGAATCTGAAGCAGGCTGCTTCAGGCTCTGAGCTGTCAGTACAGGGCCCGATGTGGGGCTCAAACTCACAAACTGAGATCATGACCTGAGCCAAAGTCGGACACTCAACCGACTGAGCCACCCAGGCACCCCTTGACTCCTAGTTTTTTATCTTAGCCTAAACCTTTCAGCACCAGATTCAGATATCTGACTGCCTCCCTCTCCCCTGTCTAATTGGCATCTCAAACTTAAAATGGCCACGCAAACTGATTTCTCTCCCAAACCAACACATCTTACAGTCTTTACTGTCTGAGTTAAAGGTACCTACATTTACTCAGCTGCCAAAAACCTTGGAGTCATCATAGATACCTTTCTTTTTTTGAGATTTTATTTTTAAGTAAAAGTACACAAGCCAGGCTCCCCATCTTGGATATCTTTCATTCTCACATCGAAAGAATGAGAATGAGAATCCAAGCCATCAACAGATCCTGTCAGTTTTATCTTAAAAACATATCCAGAATCTACCTATGTCTTAACACTTCCATTGCTACCACCTGGTCCAAGCCATCATCACTTGCCTGGATTACTGCAATAGCCTCCTAATTGATCTTCATGCTTATATCCTGTGTGGAGGATTCTCTACACAGTAGCCAGAGTCAAGACTTCTACTTTCTGCTCAGACATTTCTTTGTTGTTTTGTTTTGTTTTGTTTCCTTTGCTCAGACGTTTTCAATGGTTTCCATCTCATTTAGTCCTTTCACTGCCTCCAGGAACCTACTCCCAAGGCCCTTGTTACCTATAGACCAAACATCCAACCATTTACCCCAGCTACCCCAATTTAGCTCAGTGGCTTCCTTGCTTTCCTTCTGACACATCAAGCAAACTTCCATTCCAGGATGTTCGTACCTGCTATTCTGGCTGCAGAGCTCTTCCCTAGGTATTCCTATGGCTCTCTTCCTCCCCTCCTTCAATTCTTGCTTCTTCCCCTAACATTTCTGTAATAGCAGCCTCCCTCCCTCTCTCTCTCTCTCTCTCTCTCTCTCTCTCTCTCTCTCTCTCTCTGTGTGTGTGTGTGTGTGTGTGTGTGTTTAGGTAGGTTCCATGCCCAATGTGGGGATCAAATTCACAACCCTGAGATCAAGAGTCACATGCTCTACCAACTGAACCAGCCAGCCACACCCCCTCCTTCTGTGGTGGTTTTAAAATAACTCCATAAAATTTTTGATAATCCTTGGGATGCTTGGGTGGCCCAGTCAGTTAAGTGTCCAGCTCTTGATAAGGGCTCAGGTCATGATCTCGTGACCTAACAGCACAGAGCCCACTTGGGATTCCCTCTCTCCCTCTGTCTCTGCCCCTCCCCTCACTTGCTCTCTAAATAAATAAATAAATAAACATTTTTTAAAATTAAAAAAAAAGTATATATCTCCCTTAAGAAGTGAAGACTAATTCCCTTCCCCTTGAATGTGGGTTGGATATTCATGTAATTTTAACAAATACATGGCAGAAGTGACTATGTAATTTCTAAGACTAGACCAAAAAAGCATTGCTGCCTCCTTTGGTCTCTCTTGGGTCACTCTCTCTGGGAGAAACCAACTGCCATGTAGGGAGGACCCTCAGGCAGGAGATCCTTTCCTATGGAGAGGTCCACCTGGGGAGAACAGCCTCCTACCAACAGCCATGTGAGTGAGTCATCTTGGAAGTGGATCCTCCAGTCCCAGTCAAGCCTTCATGTGACTGTAGCTACAGCCAACATTTATACTACAACCTCATGAGAGGCAGTGAGCCAGAACCATCCAACTAAGCCACTATCAAATTCCTGATCCACAGAATTGTGAGAAAATAAATGTTGTTTTAAGCTTACTAAGTTTGAGTGTAATTTACTATGAATACATAACATCCATCCATCTCTTTCTATTCCCCTCAACCCAGATTTATTTTTCCCCATTTTAATTATCACCATCTGATACATTATGTATTTCCCCACTGGAATTATACCATTATAATAAAGACTTTGTTTTATTTACTCCTATTTCCAACAATGTCTTGCACAAAGTAGCTGCTTGGTAAATATATGTTGGATCAATGGAGATCTAGATCTGTCTTTGTCTCTGTGAGGTATAGAATCAGATGGGAGCTAAGTGAGGGTATGAGAGACATCCCTTCTTCTTCACAGATGAAGAGAGAGATAAACCAGGTCCCAGTCAAGCTTCTTGCTTCCCCTCAACCCTTCCCAGTTGTAACCCTCCTGGTCTGGACCCCCAAGATAGGTTTACTATGCTTGATTAATGATTGATTCCTTTCTTTGGGTGAAGCTGCTCAGTCCCTTACCCCTCTCCTCCTCTGCCCCTTGTGAAGCAATCTCCAAAACTCCCAGAACTAGAATTTCTCCAAGCCAGTTCCTACCTTTCCAAGAAGAATCTTACCATCTATCTCTCTCCAGGCACCTCCTGTTCTCTGAGCACTGAAAGGGAAATGGGTGTATGGGGAGCAAGCTGGCCATATGAGTTCTGCAGAGCTCTACCCTCTGCCAGGAGCCCCTAGGGCATGTTTACCATGGCGTATTCAGATTCTCCCCTCTAGGCCCAGAGGAAGGGGCTTGATGCTTTCCAGGAGTATTCACACCAGCCAAAGCCACTGGAGAGGGAGCATCAGTACTGAGGACAGTTGGATGACCAAGGCTTCTTGGGGGATTGGGGTCTGACTGGCTGTCAGGTCTGAAATCTGAGCGGAACACTGGAGTGAGCCAAAGTTATGAGCAGTACTGAGCTTCAGTATGGCCAGAGGTGGGCCAAAGAGAACAAGGACTTAGTGCCACAGTGGAATGTGGGTCAGGGACAAGTGTGGAGGATAGAGACAAGGAACGCAGAGGGGTGGGGCTCCTGGGTGGCTCAGGTGGTTTAGCGTCTGACCCTTGATTTTGGCTCAGGTCATGATCTCAAGGTTTGTGGGATAGAGCCTCAAGTTGGGCTCTGCGCTGACAGTGCAGAGCCTGCTTGGGATTCTTTCTCTCCCCTCTCTCTGCCCCTCCCCTGCTCTCTCGCTCTCTCTTTTCCTCTCAAAATGAATAAAAATAAACTTAAAACAAAAAAAAATTTTTTTAACTTAAAAAAAAAAAGAGCAGAGGGGTGTCACCTACCACAAGAATCTGGTGAGAAGAGCTAGTGGTCCAGGCCGGGGCAAGCTGGGTGTGAGAGGAGGGGACTGACTGTGGGAGGAGAAAGTAGGCAAAAGTCACACCTGAATTTCTGCCTCCTAGAGGAATCTTGGCCCTGGGAACAGTGCACCTCACTAAGTATGAGGTCAGGAGATGGCCCCTGGTACTGGGTGTGATATAGCCAAGTTTCATACTCATGCCAGGTGTCACCCCGACAGATACAGGTTGTTTTGTTCATTCATTTGGTAGGCCCACCCCCTTGGGCACAGGAAGCAACTGAGGAATGTATGAGGGTTCCTATGAGGAATGGGGTCCAGGCTGCTGAGAGAAGAAATTGTGGCCTGCTACTCAGGACAGTGGCAAAAGAAAATAAGAAATAAGAAATATGCATCTGGGGGATAACTAGAGTTAGGGTGGACCTGGAGTAGTTGGCTGAGGGGTCTAGAGATAAAGACTGGAGTCACACACACAGGGTTGAGGATGTGCAAAATTCTAATCACTGTTGAAATGTGGTATGAGTACCAGAGGTTCATAATACTATTCACCATTCTTGTGTATATGTTTGAAAATTTCCATAATAGAAGGTCACAAGAGATTAAAAAGAAAAAAGTGTGACTATGTATCTGCATGTGGTATGTGTGTACCCTGCCATGGATGTGGACTCAGTTCAGAGACCTCTGAGTGCCAGAGTGCAGACATGGGAGTCCACCACCATGGGCACGTATTGCACAAACTGCAACCTCCCTGCGGTTGGGGACAGCACTTGTGCAGGGCAGGGGGAGAAGCATTTGCTCTGTGCAGACCCTCCATATTCATCTCAGTATCTTGCAGAGTGATTCCCCTTTCATGATCACAACCTGCCCAGGCCATTGGCGCTGTAGTGTCTATGTTACCAAGTATGTGAGACAGGGCAGCTGTGTGCCCGAACTTGTGACAGTATGTGTTGGTGTGTGAACACGGCTGTTCGTGTGTGAATGCCAGGCACTGAGTGTGGATGTGGGGGGCACGACTTGTGGGTGTGGCGGGGCCCTGGTCCAGAGTCCAATGGTGTTAGACTCCTCACTCTCCTTCGAACGATTCCTGGCAGCTCTCCAGCGCCCCCTCCTCCCGTTCTGGCAGTGTGGAGGGGGAACACCTGTTGGGGGGCTGGGAGCGGCAGAGCCCCGGGGGGCCTCTCCCCCCGCGCCCCCGCCCGCCCTGCCCCTCTCCGGTCCCGCCCCCGCGGCCGCCGCCAGCAGAGCGGCGCGTGAGCGCACCGCGGCCAGAAGAGCGCACCGCTGCGGGAGCGCACGGCTGGGGACCCCGCGCAGGGAGCAGAGCCGAGGTAGGGGCTGCCCGAGAGGCGGGCAGAGCAGAGGGAACGCCGTGGAGACGCCGGGGGCACCGGGGCGCGCCAGGCTGGTGAGTGCGGCCGCGGGCCGTGGGGAGCCAGAGAGCGGGCGTCGAGACCCAGCGGTCCTCAGCCCGCCCGGTCCGGGGCTCTGCCCCCCGCCACCCTCTGTCCTCGCGGCCCCTCAGTGCTAGCCCTCTGCGTTCTCTGCCCCGTCTCTCCGTCTGTTTTTCCCTGCCTCAGTCTCTGTCTCCCTCTATTTGCTGTCTCCCCTTGTTTCTTTCTAATCTCTCTTCTCTCTTCAGTCTCTGTCTCCTGCTGCGTCGGTCTTTCCCTCTCTCTCTCAACCACTGTCTCACTGTTTGTCTCTCTCCATCTCTGTCCCTGTCTCTCTCTCTGGACTACCTGTCACTCAGGTCTTGATATTTATCTCTTACTCCTCTCTCTGTCTCTTACCTTCCCTATCTACCCAATATCTCTATCAATCTCATCTCTCCCCACCTCTGTCTCTCTGTTCTTATCTCTGCCTGATTATCTCTGTCTGTCCCCACCTGTCTCTCATTGTCTCTCTGTCCCATCTCCATTTCTCTTTCCGTATCTCTCCTGTCATTGTCTCTCTTTCTGATCTCGCTTGCTCACTCTCTCTCTCTCCTCTCCTGTCCTCTCTGTTTCTTGGTCCTTGTCACCCTCTCTGATCTACTCAGTCTTTACCTGTCCTCTGTCAATATCCATTTCTGTTTCTTTGGGTCTGGTCTCTTGTCTCTCCTGTTGTTTCTACCTCTGTCTCTGTCAATGTCTGGGAAATCTATCTTTTTGCCTTTTTTCCTATGGCCCCCTGCACTTCCTTGAATCAGTAACCACCTCCTCTTGTGCTGGGGGTTGTGGGGGCAGCAGGGCCCAACACTCATAATTCCCACCCCCACAGGCGGCCCTTTCCTCGGGGCCCCGCCTGGTGCCAGCCCCCCCACCAGCGGGGGGACTGCGCCTGGAAGCTGTAATGGAGGCCCTGCAGAGGCAGCAGGCAGCCCGACTGGCCCAAGGGGTGGGGCCATTGGCCCCTCAACGCCCATTGCCACCACCACTACCTCCCTTGCCTGGCCCTCGGACCCTGCAGGCCCCTGAAGGGGCCTTGGGGGAGGTTGGGACTGAAGAAGAGAAGGATGCGGAAGAGGATGAGGAAGGGGAGGAAGCCGGGGCAGAGGAGGAGGCAGCCGAGGAGAGCCGTCCAGGGACCCGGGGCCCCAGCTCACCTTCAAGTCAACCCCCTGGACCTCATCCCCATGAATGGACCTACGAGGAACAGTTCAAGCAGGTAGGACCCCCTACATGTCTGGCCCCCTCCCCTTCCTCCTCTCTGGGCAAAAGCAAAGCCAGGTGATTCATAGCCCATCCACCCCCACTGCCCTCTGCAGGATGGAAAAACAGAGACACGGAGACCTGGAGAGAGACAGTGGGAGGACTGTAAGATAGATAGTGACAGGGAAGCAGAAAGAGACCTCCAGAGACATGGAAAGAAGTGCATAGACACACACTGAAAGATGTAGGAGACGCCTAGAAATGTGGAGGCATGACAGACTGGAGGCTTTTGGTGAGGCTAGAAGGGAAAGTGGGGGGGGGGGTGTAGGAGCTTCAAGAATTCTTTTCAGGGAATGGGATCTGGGGAATGGGGATTCCAGTGCCAGCACCATCTTACCCTACCTTCTCACACATCAAGTCACAAGGTCATATTCCAGCAACCAGTGGGGGTTTCCTGGGCTGCATATTTCTGTCTCTGGAAGCAGAATGGAGGTTGCCACTCCTTTCGCAAGCTGATACCCTCATCTCTTCCCTGTCACATTGCCCCCATCCAAATCCTCTCCCTGGCCTGAGTTCTATGGGTGACAGTTCCTAGCCTGTGATGGCCACACTATAGCCGCAGTGTGACTAAAGGGCTCCTGTACAGATGGGAGTGACAAGATCTTACTCTGAGAGCTTTAATTTGAGGTTCTTCCTCTCTGTGGAACCCATCTGGATGTTATTGTAAGGCACTACTTCAGGCTGTCACTATGAATGTATTATAAAGGGCTCTGACTCCAGGTGTGCTGTTCTGGTGATATTACTCTGAGGATGTTGGTCTTGGGGACTTTTCCCAAAAGTGTTAATTTGCGGCTAGTACTCTGTGGCATTAATGTAAAACTTGGAGTGTTACTCGGTGCTCTGTTGCTCTAGTGACTGTTTCTTTTGGGTATAATTCTGGGGATTATTACTTGGGAGAGCATATGTATTATTTTTGGGGATCCATCTAAGGCTTTGGGCTTAGTTCTTCTGGGGAGTATAGGTCTAAAGTGGATCTCTGGGTTCTGTTTTTTTGTTTGTTTGTTTTTAATTCTGAGAGTTCTTAGTGGGGAATGGAGTGTTACCTATTGGTATTACTCAGGGACTGTTATTCTGGGTAAATGACTGTTAGTTATTCCAGGGCTTGTTTCTGCTGGGTGGTATTTGGGAGGTGATACTGGAGATGGGGCTCCAGGTGACTGGGATGACCTCTGGGTCTTTCAAGTTCTGACCCTCCAGGTCCTGGGCAGTGTAGGGCCATTACCTCTGTGGCAGCTTCTGTAGTGGGTAGGTCACTGCCCCTGGAAACAGACCAGAAGTGGGGCTGAGGGGCCCCAGGTGTCAATCCAAGAGATTCCGAGCATCTACTCTGCCTGAACAATGGGTTAGAGGCATCTCAGTCCCTCATCCCCAGCCATGGCACACAGAGATGTGAAAAGCAAGAAGCCCTTGCAAGAATAAACAAGCGTGAATGAGCAAGCACCTCAGAGACATCTGTCAGCTTCCTCAGTATAGAACACAGTCCCAGCCTGACTTCCTTCCTGGGGATCTTTGCATGCCCTGGAGGGCAGGCTAAGCTTCCTAAGCTACCTTTAGTCCACTATTCCCCAGAGGGATGGTTTGAGCTTCCCAGGGCACCCCTGGCCAGTGGATCTCCGGTCTCTGTGTGTGTTAGGAAAAAGTGCCCCTCCCTGCGCCCAGGGGGAGAGAGTCTAATGCCAGGGAGTCCACATTTCAGACCCTACTCACCCCTTTAGCTGAGAACCCTTATTCAGGATTTAACCTGAGTTGGGGTCCCAGGGGGAGGGGGGGAAGTCAGTGGAGCTGAAAAATGACCTCAGTCCTTCCCCAGCTGTACGAGCTTGATGCAGACCCCAAGAGGAAGGAATTTCTGGATGACCTGTTTAGCTTCATGCAGAAGAGGGGTGAGTGGGATGATGTAAGGGAAGGACCCCCACCTACCAGTTTTGAGGAAGGGAGACCCCAGGGTTTAGTCCCCAGGTTGGCTCCTCTCTGCAGAGGCCTGAGCTTGGCAACACCTAGCCTTTGGGCCCTCGATAGCGTCTTTAACCTCTGACCCTGCCCCCCTCCTCCACCCAGGGATTAATTAGTGGCCAGCCCACTGGCAGGTTAATGAGTGTGGGATCAATTGGGAGGGTGGGAGGGGAAATGGTTGGGGGCTGGCCTGGGGGGTTCCCAGGATTGGGGGGTTGGGAATGCCTTGTTCCTCTTTCAGTGGCCCTTCGTCCAGCCTTGTCTCTCAGTTTCCCCTTGCTTCAGGCAGGGGACATCCAATATGCTCTACAGCAGAAAGGACTGGGATTAGACTGAAGGAAGGACTTCTAAAGGGTAGGCTGGGGGCCATGTGAGTTGGGGTTGTGGAGGAGGAGGAATTCCTTTCCAGGAATCTCAGAGATAGAAGAAAATGCAAGGGTCCAGGAGGAGATCAGGGTGGGCGGCAGTCCATCACTTAGGCTTTCCCCAGATTCATGGGTACGAAGACTGACTCATTATCTCTCTCTACAAAGCTAATTAACTCACTCGGAGCTTGGCCTGATAAGCCACTAATTAACTGGCTGCACTGCACCCCCCTCCCTTAGTGCAGCTGCTGGTCAAAGTCCCTCAGCTCCCACCACAGGCCCAGCATCCCTTTTGGGATCCTTTCTAACCAGGGACCCTCAGTGGGGTCCCAGGTCTTTTTGGTCCCCAGGGAGGCCCAGTCATTCTGGCCCCAGTGTCTCCTCCCTGACCCTCCCTGGGAGGTCTTCCTTCCACTGGGGAAAGTGGGGTAGAGTGGTCTGAGCAGATCCCAGCATTCCCTCCATCACCCTCAGGACGGGAGCTCTGCCTCCCTCTGGTCCTTGCCTCCCTCTGCTCCCTCTGCGGGAGGGGGAGGGTGCGGGGGGGGGGGCGGGGGGGAGGAGGTCCCGTGGGACCGATAATTTCCCCACATTAATCAGGCCGCAGCTAATTGTTCGGGTCCAAAGGAGGCGGCGGAAGGGGACGGGATCGGTAAAGAATTAACTGGGGCCCATCGCTCAGAGCAGACAGGCCCCTTTGTCAGGACTGGCCGGCGGGGGCGGCGCGAGCTACGGAGTTGGCGAGCCGGAGTTGGCGAGCCGAGGCGGGGGCTGCTGCTTCTCCCATCCGCCACTTCCGCCATCCCCCAGTCTCTGGCAGCCACCCCGGGGCCGCTGCTTAGGGGAGTTCAGCTCTTCAGCACTGTCAGGAAGTCCTTACTACGGTCTACCCTAGGGGTTGGCAAACTAAAGCCGGCTGGCTAAATCTAGCCGCCTGAGAGATAAGCATGGTTTTTACATTTTTAAATAGTGAAAAAAATTAAAAGACGAATAAAATTTCAGAACGTGTGAAATTCGAATTTCAGAGGCTGTAAATAAAGTTTTTATTGGAACACAGCCGGGCCCATTCCTTTCAATATCCTCCATAGCTGCTTTCAAGCTACAATGGCAGAGTGGAGTAGTTCTGAAGGGGAGGTTTGGCCCTCAAAATCTGTAATATTTACCGTCTGGACCTTAACAGAAGAAGTTTGCCGACCCCTGATCTAGCTTCCTGTCCTTCCTGCTACAAGCCAGATCTTGGGAGCTCTGTGGGCTCCGCCTGGAATCCCTCTTATCCCCCCCTCCCTCTTCCCTTTTCTCTGAGATCCCGTCCTGTACCCTGGCCTCCAGGCAACCGACTCCTTCAGTCCTTGAGGATGTCCGCAGACAGGTTCTTAGTCCTAGTATTCTGACTCTCTGCCTACCTCTCACCAGGGACGCCAGTGAACCGCGTGCCCATCATGGCGAAGCAGGTGCTGGACCTGTACGCGCTGTTTCGCCTGGTGACAGCCAAAGGCGGCCTGGTGGAAGTCATCAACCGCAAGGTGTGGCGGGAGGTCACGCGCGGCCTCAGCCTGCCCACCACCATCACGTCGGCAGCCTTCACTCTACGCACCCAGTGAGGCCAGGCGCGCGAGCGGAGGGGGCAAGGAGCGGGAAAGGGGTCGCAGGACGTGGAGGGCCCAGGGGCGGGTGTTTCATTGTGGGACTTGATCAGTGGGATCCAGCCTCCCATCTACCCCGCCTCGTCTGTCCGCCCCTAGGTACATGAAGTACCTGTACCCGTACGAGTGCGAGACGCGGGCGCTCAGCTCCCCAGGGGAGCTCCAGGCAGCCATCGACAGCAACCGGCGCGAGGGCCGTCGTCAGGCTTACACCGCCGCCCCGCTCTACGGCTTAGCTGGGCCTACACCTCGGGGTACTCCCGGCCAAGTCTCCGTTCCTGGCCCCGCCCCGCCCACGCCCAGCCCACGCCCTGCCCAGGGCTCCGCCTCCGGCCTGCCTGCTCACGCCTGCGCGCAGCTGAGCCCGAGCCCCATTAAGAAAGGTGTGAGGGGACAGGGTCTGAGATTTGGGTGTCTGTGAGACCTGGGGGTGCGCTGAGATACAGAGAACACTAAAATGTGGGGAGTCTGAAGTCTGAGAGGCATTGAAGTCTGTAGTAAGGACTGACAGGGCACTGAGGTTTGCTGCACGCGAAGGTTTAGGGGTCCTCAGGTTTGAGGGTCAGTGAAACCGTAGAAGGTCTGGGGTACGGGTTACTGCGGTGTGGGCCTGAAGCTCGGGAAAAGGTCCTTTATCTAGAGGAACTCCATTCCACATCTGTCCACCTAGGGCTCCTATTGGCATGTAGTTTTTGCCTCCTGTGGTCTGTATTATTTAATAACTGAGCGCAAGGAGAGGCCCTAATTGTCTTGGACCAACCTAGACATGTATATATTGGCCCTTTGGGCCCTCCAGCTTCAGAGCCTCAGGCTGAGACTCTAGATGGGAGGGAAAATTGAACTTGGTGCTTGAGCTTGGGTGACTTCCCTTCACCCCAGCCCTAGGGGGAGAACCAAATGCAGAGGCAGAGTTGGTTGGGCCATGGGAGTTGACTGACCTTTCTTCCAGAGGAAAGCGGAATTCCAACCCCTCGACTGGCACTGCCTGTGGGCCTGGCTTTGGGACCTGCAAGGGAGAAGTTGGCACCAGAGGAGCCCCCAGAGAAGAGGGCTGTGCTGATGGGCCACATGGACCCACCTCGACCTGGAGCTCCCCCTAGTTTCCTGCCCCGTGGCAAGGTTCCCCTGAGGGGTGAGCAGGGGCTTGTTGCTGAGAGGGCTTCGGGCCTATACACTGAGGGAGGACAGACCCATCACCTAATAGGTGTTGGAGGTGGGACAGATAAATCCCTCAATAGACAACTGTGTGATTATAGGTGTGGGGCTGAAGTGGAATGGGGGCTGTCTGTAAGGATGGAGGGGGGAGCTTGAAAGTCTCAAGTCTGATTCTCCAAAATGTGACTCCCCTGTCCCTCCTGGACAGAAGAGCGGCTGGATGGGCCTCTCAATCTGGCAGGCAGTGGTATCAGCAGTATCAACATGGCCCTAGAGATCAACGGGGTGGTCTACACTGGTATGGGTACTGCAGGCTGTCTACACTGGCATGAGGTCAGGGGTATTTGCTCTGGCATGGGGATTTTAGATTTTCTCAGCTAGCATGAGGTTCAGGGATATCCAAACTTGCATGGGTAATGTGGGGTTCATGGGATTGCTACAATGGCATGGGTTAAAGGGTGTCTACAATGGCATGGGGTCTAAGGCATGACCTCTCTGGCATGGATACCATGGGATGTCTGCCTTGTCATGGACCTATGTATCAGTGTAAATATTTCTTGTTTACCTGTTTGAGGGTATCTATATTGCCATAGGAGTCTCTAACTGACCTAAGGAGCTTGTCCACATTGGTTTGTGGCAGGGATATGTGTGTGGTGTTGTAACAATCAGGACACTGACTTTTGTTTTCCTCTTCTGTTTCTGTGCCTACCTCCTCCTGCCTGTGTTTTCTCTCCACCACCTCCTCACCCCTTTATCAGGTGTCCTCTTTGCTCGCCGACAGCCTGTGCCAGCTTCCCAGGGCCCAACCAACCCTGTACCCCCACTCCCTACAGGGCCACCTTCCAGCACTTCACCCTGAGAACTCCCACTCAGAATTAAGAGTCCCAGCCCCAATGCTGAGTGGGCCCCCCCTCACCTTGATTCTTCTAGGGCACCCAGTCTAGGACCCAGCCCTGGGAGATGACACCCCCACCCCCACCCATCCATGCCCTGTGGACTTGAAGCCAAAGAGTTTTCTTTTGATGTTACATCTACCTCATTGTAAAGGGAGAGCACCTCCTCCCTGGCCAACTCCAGCAGCATCTACCAAAGAGTTCTGCCCTCCCTAACCCCCATCATTTCCTCATGTGCCTCCCTGTGTCAGTGTCATCTCTAGGACCCCACCTCTTCAAATCAGACCTGCTTCTCCTCAGAAGCCAGGTGAAGGGTTAGGTTGGGGTGTTGTGAAGGAGATATCCCTCAGGTCACATCTGAATAATAAAGCTGCAGTCCCTCCCTCTCCAGTGCCTCTTCTTGTTTGGGTCTGGGGGTTAGGAAGGAATTATGTGGTATACACAGGTTGTTTTTGGGCCAGGGGTTCTCAAGAGGGGAAGACAGAATAGCAAAGGGCCGTGAAAGTAGTGGGCCTGGGTTTCATGATTCAGACTGTCTGGGTTCAAATCCTGATTCTGCTACTATAGTGCGGAGTGGCCTTGGGCAAGGCATTAGTCGCTTGAACCTTAGAAGACTCCTAAAGATCATGGTATCTCAGGGAGTCTCCTACTGATCTATGGGAATAGACCAATCCTGAAATAATAGGTGTATTTATATCGGCAACCTCGGGGAATAGGGTAGGAAACGTCTTTGGTACCCTTCAATTAGAAAAAGAAAAGTAATGGGGCGCCTGGGTGGCGCAGTCGGTTAAGCGTCCGACTTCAGCCAGGTCACGATCTCGCGGTCCGTGAGTTCGAGCCCCGCGTCAGGCTCTGGGCTGATGGCTCGGAGCCTGGAGCCTGTTTCCGATTCTGTGTCTCCCTCTCTCTCTGCCCCTCCCCCATTCATGCTCTGTCTCTCTGTGTCCCCAAAATAAATAAAAAACGTTGAAAAAAAATTAAAAAAAAAGAAAAGAAAAAGAAAAGTAAAAGTTTGGACAAGCAGGAACTGGAAACTAGGACAGAGCCTGATAGGTAGTCGTTGCCTAGGTAACCAGACAGCTTTTGACACCTTTCACTGGCCCTGCCGGTCACTTCCGGCACCCGAGGGCTGAGTCGTAACGTCACTTCTCGTATTGAGGGATGCCCCCGCGCTCTGATTAGCCAGCCTTCTCTATTTGGCCGGACGTCCCGCCCTCTGCCTGTTCCTCGGCTGAGGCGGAGGCGAGGTAGCTATGGCGGCTGTCAGCGACGTGCAGCGGCTACAGGCCCGTGTGGAGGAGCTGGAGCGCTGGGTGTACGGGTCTGGCGGGCCGCGCGGCTCGCGGAAGGTGAGTGATCTGGGATACAGTGCTGCCTTTCTGGGGCAGAGCAAGAGGACTACTGGCATGGTCCTCCGGATAGGTGCAACCGCTCCAGCCTCGTCGCCCCGCAGCCGGACCTTTGGAATAACAAAGGTTCGAAACCTTTTGGAGCTTATCGGACCCACGGGCTCCATTTCCATGGAGGACACTCAGCGTTATTAGGACCGATTGCGATGGGCTCATTGTAAACTGTGACTAAGACTGCCTCTGTCCTCTCGGGCTGGAGACCTAACACACTTGAAAATCTGACTAACGAGAGTTTCTGTAAGAGCTGAAGTCCACAATGGAAGGGCTGGCACAGAGCCCTGCGTAATCAATTGCTAAATATTGTGCAGAAAGAGGTCCGTGGGACACTGGAGGGCGCAGAGCAAAGGTGGATAAGGAAGGCTCCCGGAATGAGAGATGAGGTCTGAGAGAGCCAGAATTAGGAGGGAAGGGATTGGATACCGGGTGGGGTTTTTTTTGTTTGTTTGTTTTTTTGAGTTTATTTATTTAGAGGCGACGGTGGGGGGGGGGCGGGCCAGAGAGAGCGAGAATGAGAGAATCCCAAGCAGGCTCCCTGCTATAGGCGTGGGGGTGGGGGGTGGCTGGATTCCACCAACGGTCATATCATGACCTGAACCAAAACCAAGAGTCCCACACCTAACCCACCGAGCCACCAGGGGCCAGAATACCGGGTGTTTAGATATGGATGGAACACTCTTTCACACCAGTGACTGAATTTTGACAACCGTGAACCTTAGTTCTCCTACCCTCTCCCCCCACCCCCCGCCCCCCGGGGTTGTAAGGGAGGGACGGTCAGGGAGGGAAGGTAAAAGAGTGTCAGGCATACCCTGGAGTTAGATGCATCAGAGATAATGATGTCTGTTTGTATACTTCTTGTGGAATTGTCACTAGCAGATTGTGCCCCACTTGAGAACTGATTTTTCAAAACATTCTCTCCCTTTGACATCCATGACAAAAATCCTCCTTGTTTTCCTTCTACCTCTGTGGCTGTTGCTGCTTAGTCCCATTTGCCTCCCCATATATTTGACCCTTGAATATTAGCATTCTTCACCCCATATTCTAAAACCTGGGTAAGATCATTCACTTTCATAGCCTCTCCCTCTATTTGATCCTTTAATATGGGAATTCCTTACCTTCTACCCCTGGAGCCTAGGTAGGTTCAGCCAGAGAGGTAGGAACCAGGTTATGCTAATGTCCTATAAACTCTAACATAGTTAATTACCTTCCCAATCAGACTTAAAACTTCCCAGAGACTACATGACTATCTTCCCCTTCATACTGAGGATTCCCAGAAGGTGGGGTGGCATCTCCTTTAAAACAAGAGAAAGGGGCGAACCTATTTTGCTGGGATAAAGAGATTTGGGAGATGAAGGAATGGGGGTTCTTTACCTCTTTCAAGCCTTGGTCAAGCAGCGAACCTTGGAATTAACTTTCAGTCCCCTTGCAGGTGGCTGATGGCCTGGTCAAGGTACAAGTGGCTTTGGGGAACATTGCCAGCAAGAGGGAGAGGGTGAAGATTCTGTACAAAAAGAGTAAGTGATTCCATAGGGTGCCTGCCTTCCCTCCTTCCCATACCTATGCTTCCTGGGACTTGGCCCTTGCCTTCCAGCCCAGTAGGTCATTGGAGTCACTCTTTGGGGACAGAATGTGAAGATATTTCCCTGCTGAAGTGGTGTCATGGGGTGTGATTTCTACTTTGTGGTTAAACTCCAAGCCCATGACAGTGTCATAAGTTATGGGATAAGGGCCCTGCCTCAAAAGTCCTCTGGTGAAGGAGGGAGGAGAGGTATAGTATTTCCACAGGCAAGGTTCAGAGGCAGGAGGGAAATTAGGCACTGAGAGCCCAGGCTTGGCTCAGCCATGCCTTTTTGATTATGTCAGAGCCAGCAACCTAGAAATCAGAAAAGGCTCTCACTTGTCTTGGTGGCACTGAGGAGCAAGTGGCCTTCCACCTTTGGTGAAGATAGGTCAGTGGGAATGCTGAGGGTTCCAGGATAGTGGAGGCAATTGTGTTCCCAGCTGTAAAGGCTGAGTTTGGCCAGGAGGTATTCACAGGGGAGAGACAGGGAGGTGGGGCCCAGTGGAGGCCTGCTGATAGATATTGTGGGATTGTGGGTGTCATCTCCTCACTCAAGGCTCTCCCCAAAGTTGATCACTAATATCCTTCTAATATCCTTCATAAGACAGATTTCCCACACCCCACCCCTATGCCATTTTCTGTCTTGCTTCTTTTCTAGTTGAAGACTTGATCAAATATCTGGATCCTGAGTACATTGACCGCATTGCCATACCTGATGCCTCTAAGCTGCAGTTTATCTTAGCAGGTAGTGCTGGCCAATCTGTGCACATGCATCTGGGGATTATGGATTATGGGGGAAGTTGGGCATGGAGATGCCTTCCCTGCCAGTCCTCTCATGGATACAGCACTGGAAGCTGCAGTCTGAAATTCTGGCCTGGCTCTTGGCTGAGGCCTGAGGTCATCCTGTGGTCTTCTAGTGAGCATTGGGTATGGTATACTTCTGAGCCAGCTGAGGCCATGGTACCAGCAACAGTGGGAACTACTTCAGTTTTCTAACAATGGTCTGCCTCTAGGATCTTCCTTCAGAACCTTCCTCACTTCTGCTCACTACATAAAGGAGCTTCTAGGAAAGGGTGGGAGCAGAGAACATTGCATTTGGGAGAGGTGAGAATATTGGCACGGGTTTCAGCATTTTCCTTTCATATGAGAAGGCACAGGTGTTTCAGAGTTCTAGGCAGGAACTATTCACCTGGCAATGTCTGCTGCTCAATTTAGTCAATCACTCCATGAGGTAGGGTTTGCCAAGTACCTGTGTTTCTTAATTCATTCAGAAGATGTTTAATGATCATTTTCTGTGATCCAGACCATCCTCAGTGTGAGGCATACAGTGGTGAACCAGAATGCCCCTGAACCATTGCCGCGGCTCAGGTGCCAAGTTCAGGAGATCTTTTCCTATACTAACATTGGAGTCCAGCCTTTCCTTCCCTCCCTGGCCACTGTCTGCCTGGATTCACTGAGTTTGTTATAGCAGGCTAGAGGAAGAGGCCTTAGAGTTAAAACTTCAAGAAAGGTGGTATTTGGAGAAACCTAGAGGCTCCTTGGGTTCAAGACGGGTCATACCAGAGGCATCTAGGAGAGGTGGGAGCAGAATGGGGGACTGTGCACCTAGAGAAGGGGGCAGTGAGCAGAGTAGCTGCCCCATGCTACAGGACTCAGCCATCTACCCTGTCAGGTCCTCAGTCCCTTGCATGGAAGTAGCAGTGCCCAGGTTTGCCTCACTGCCACTATCTTGTCTGTTTATGTCTCAGAGGAGCAGTTTATCTTATCCCAGATTGCACTCCTGGAACAGGTGGAGGCTTTGGTGCCTATGCTGGACAGCGCTCACATCAAAGGTACCTCTTTAGGTCTGCAGCTCTACCACTCTGCTTGGGGAGGTGGGTGGATGGACAGGACTTCCTTGTGCTTCAGGTTCCCTGAGTTCAAGCTAAGTCTGCTCCTTGTCTTTACCTCAACCCTGGGGATACCTGTCATCTGCATTGGGATGAAAATTGCCAGAGCAGAGAATTCATTTTCAGAACCTCAGGCAGTTTGGACATAAGGACACTAGTGTAAGTCCAGCAGCTCCCAACTCTGAGTATTCCTTTTACTTTCTACCTCACCCCTCAGCATCTGTCCTTTAGGCTGCTATATAGCCCAGATTTTACTATAAGAGTTCCTGCCAGGTGTGTGAATGTGTATAAATTCTTCCTGCCGCACTGTTGAGAACAGTCCCTGGGCCTGAGTTTTGACAAACAGACAGTGACTTTAATTGAATCCAGATATCCATCTTGTCTGTCTCTGGAGGTATTTTTTCCTGTTCCCCCTCCCTACCCCCTATCAGCTATCTGCTGAGCATTTGACAACCTTAAGCTATGGGCTCAGCATGGTGGCCAGGGCTCTGGGTGTTGGATTCTAGGTGTCCAGCTTAGGAACCTTGCAT